TAAATTGTATACCTGTGTGAATACATTATAGGTGGTAGTATCTGGTACGATACTCTAGTCTTCGCATATCTGCCAAGCGAGTGAAGTTACATAGTAAGATCGACGATTACGCCGTAGTAAAGGAAAGCTACGCGACAGTAAGTAGCAATAGTTTATTTTTAATTTAAAAATTATTTTGGAATTTATATTTATGATAAATATTATAATTAAAGAATCATGGCAGATAGTTCATTCTATGCATTGTTACATGCCTGTAAGAATAATAATTATGAAAAATCAAATACAAATAGAATATTAATAACCAATATAGATACAATCAAAATTGATACAAATGCAAATGTGAATATGAATTTGAATTTGAATACAAGTATGAATGTAGATGCAAATATAAATACGAATATGAATATAGATAGGTTTTTTTAAGAAGTTTTATAGTTGCAATTAGAGAATTGTCTATATAACCTTTTTTCTATTTAACAAAGGTATAATCATGTGAATCTGAATGTAAATACAAATAAAAATGCCAATATGAATGTAAATACAAATGTAGACACAAATGCAGCAACTGATAAGTAGATTCTTTTTTAGTTTATATAAGTATTTTTAGAGTTGTAATTAGAAAATTATTTATAACTCTTTTTTTATTTAATAAAGGTATAATTATGTGAATATGAATATGAATGCAGGTGTGAATATGAATATGAATGCAGGTGTAAATATAGATATGAATGCAGATGTGAATATGAATATGAATACAAGTGTGAATGCAGATATGAATGCAGGTGTGAATGTGAATATAAATACAAGTATAAATGCGGATACGAATGCAGGTGTGAATGTGAATATGAATTCAGGTGTGAATATGAATATGAATGCAGATGTGAATATAGATATGAATGCAGATGTGAATACAAGTGTGAATATAGATATAAATGCAGGTGTAAATATGAATATGAGTACAGATATAAATGTGGATATGAATGCAGATTTGGATGCAAATACAAATACGGATGTGGATGCAAATACAGCAACTGATATGTAAGTTTTTTAAGTTTTATACAAATATCTTCAGATTTGTGATCAAAGAATTGTTTATATATATAACCTTTTTTATTAAAAAATATATGACTCGGAGTTTTTTGACATATTTCTTAAAACAATGAAGGATGATTATGAAGGTTGTAGACCACAACTTTGAGCAGGCCTTAAGAAATTAGCAAAGAGATATAATGCAGCAAAAGCTAAGTCTATCCTAGCATTAATGTTCTTTCTCTATAATGTGAATTGTAATTCAGACCCACTAGTGCGTGTAAAAAGTGGAGCAAAAATTTGTGTACAAGTTAAATTAGTTAAACATAAAAAAACTGCTAAGAAATCTAGTAGTAAGGAAAACCATGACTCTCATGTTATTCCTGTATACAAAGTTAGGGCAATTAGTAAAAAAAAGCACGATCTTAGTCAAAACATTAGCAACAATAATTTGAATTAATAGCATATATGCTTCTGTTAAATAAAATTTTTATAAAGTTATTCTATAGTTAATAAATCACAAAGTAGATGCAATTTGCTGATTAATTTTAGGTTAAAATAAATCTATAAATTACATATATATATTAATTTTAAAGATAAAAGTAGTACATTTCGTATATTCAGCAATAAAATTCTAAAAGAATATAGTTTGTTCTTAAATTTACTACAACTGAGTGTGGTTTTTAATCTTGTTATATACAGTATATGGTGATGAATTTTTTGAACACTTTAATTAATAATAATATCTTAAAATTTTAAGCCTTTTCAATTTGTAACTATAGTAATTTCCTAACATGTATTCGTGTCAATGTTCTTAAATTATAGATTGTACTAATATTTTGATCAATAATAATATCAGATTAACACTAGTAAAAAATAAAAAATTTGACATGACGAATAGCATTATTTGAATGCCATTCAACATGCCATTCAACATGCCATTTAATATGCCATTCATCTTATCATAAAATTTTTGCTGACATGAATGTTTGTGAAGTCATGTGATAGAGTTAAATAGCATACTAAATAGCATATCAAGTAGCATTTAAATAGTGTCATTTGACACATCAAATTTTTTATTTTTTACTAGTGTAAATACATGCAATAGTTACTATATAGTAATTTGTGAATATACAAAAATTACTATAGCTACAAATTGAAAAGATTTTTTATCTTACATACACATAATATTTAGTACTATTCTCTAGGTTATGTCACAGATCCTATTAATAAATTTAACTCTTCTAGCAATACTACAAATCAAATTTGGTAAAATTTTAATTCTATATTTTTGTAGAATTAAAATAAAAAAAATTAAACGAATTTTGAATAGCAAATTGTCAAGAAATCAATTAAAATTTAAAAAAAAATAGCTGTAGCTTCTTTTTTTAAGACATCTAAAACATTAACGAAGATTACTCAACACTTACTTGATTAAATTCAATCAATTTTTTTATTATTTTGATTCTATGAGCTTATAGAATTAAAAAAAATTTGATCGAATTTAATCAGATAAGTGTTGAGTAATCTTCGTTCAAGGTTTAGAAATCCTAAAAAAGAAGCTGCAACTAATTTTTTTTAAATTTTAATTAAGATTTCTTGACAACCTGCTATTTAAATTCAATTAAAATTTTTTTATTTTAATTCTATAAACACAGAATCAATATAAAAAATTCTTTATTAAATTTGAATCATTGATTGTTGAGAAATCTATTTAAATTTCAAATTTTACCTGATTTTATTTTTCTAAATAATTTTAAAGTTTTTTTGATATTTTAGTAATGTTTTTTTGATAACCACAGAGTTAAATTTAATAAAGTTTTTCTTTTATTTAATTCTACAGATATATAGAATTAAAATAAAAAAGTTTTACTAAATTTGATTATGTAGTTATTGAATAAGAATCATTAGAAGATTTAAAAAATGGTTAAATTTATTAATAAGAATTTATACATAAGTATATACAAGTTAGAAAAAGTTCTACCTGATTATGTATAGGGTAGTGTTACAAGCTGTAAGGTTTTTATCAGCTGGCTAAGCCAGCTGATAAAAAAATCAGCTTAGCGGCTGCTAATGGCTAAAGTAAGCAAAAAATTTTACTTCGGAAGTTATTAGAAATTACTCAAATTTTTTTCTCAACTTTGCTCATCTTTGAAGTTGGTTCATTTTTTCTTTAGAAACTTTCAAATCCTTGCTTTCTGTTATTTAATTCTGTCTGACATTATCATTCTGGCCTAAATTATACTACCAGAGTCATGTGACCTTAAGCCGCATTAGCCAGCCAATTATATTATATCAGCTGGCTTAGCCGGCTAAGCTGCCTTAGCCAGCTTGTAACACTAGTATAGGGATATTACACAAATACAAATAAGTGTATTTTGTGTAACTGATGTGATCAAAGATCAGCAGTGATCAGCAAAACCTAGCACAGAATTCATACATGTATAAAAAATATATATTAAGTCCAATTAGACACGTCTAATTGAATGTGTCCAATAACAACACTGAATTTAACAACTGAATTTTACTGATACTTAAAAGAGTCTGAAAGAACTCAGACCCAAAGGATTGAATAAAATCTCTACTAATTGAAAAATAACTTAGATAATTTTTATTGCACTTAGTTATTAAATTAATTATATACAGTTAGACCTCTTTAAATGCATAGTGTCAAGACCATAGTAAAAATTTTTAAAAACATGCATTTAGAGAGGTAAAAATCTATAAGTGTTATATTAAGTTGGGCCAAAAAAAGAGTATGCATTTAGAGATATTTTATATAAATATGCATTTAGAGAGGTCTGACTATAAAATTAGTAATGCTAATATGATTTTATCTTGATATAAATAAAGAAAACCAATAATAAATCTAAATTTAAAAAAGAATAAAAAGGTTAGGGTCCCATAGCCTAGTGGTCTAGGTGCCTAACCCTTCACAGACAAGGTCAACGGTTCGATTACAGCTGGTAGTAATTAATTTAATTAATTATCTCTGTAACCTACGGGAGCTTTCGAATGCGAAACCCTGTGATGATAAAACCATGTGAAGTACTTATTTGGCCTATAAAGAATTCTTGGAAGGAGTCCCGAGCCGTAGAGAAGACTGGGC